TTTTTTTTTTTTTTTTTTTGTGGGATCCTGATTTATTTCTCCCCCATACTTCGTGCAGAGTTTGAGAAAATGTCGTCAGAAAGAACACAAAGTATAGTAGGGAGTGAGGTGATGCCTCTGGACTATGGGAGGATGGACTCAGAGAGTAGTCCTTCTCCTTCTAGTTCGGAGAATACGGTGGAGGGGGTGAGAGGGGATGAGGTGATAGAGGTAGGGGAGGAAGAGGTAGTAGAGGTTGGGGGTAATGACGTGGTAAGGGTTGGAGGAGGTAGCATACCCATAACCGTAGTAGAAGTAAAGGGTAGAGGCGAGAGGGAGTATGATGTGAACGCCGAGATAGTGGAAGAGGTGCAGCAGTATAGGTCTGAACTAAGGACCAGGGATAGCTTGGGTCACTTAGTGGAAAATTACGAGATCTCTTCTCGAGTGCTGGTTAGGCCAGCTGGGGTAGAGGAGAGAGCGTGTTCTGCTCCTCGGGACCATTGGATGCCCATATATTCCCACTATCTGTTAGCGGGATTGAGGTTTCCAATTCCTGAGTTGCTGGTAGGATTATTATTAGATTATAAGATAGGGTTGACACAATTAGTCCCCAATGCTATGAGGGTAATAATAGGATTTTTAGTCTATTGCCGAGCTCAGGGGATTAGTGTGCCAACCGTAAATATGTTTAAGTATTTTTTTGTTTTAAAGGGGGGTAGTATGAGGGATGAGGGGTGGTATTATTTTACCCCAAGGGTAGCCAATAGGGAGAGTAGGTCTCTATTCACAGCGGGTCCTTCATCCATTAAAGGATGGAAGGAAAAATTCTTTTTTGTGGATGATACAGAGTGGGGGAGGGGGGATGAGGAGGTGAGGGAGTTAACCTCCTGAAAGGCTAAAAGGGCCAACCAGAATAGGTTTAGCTTGAATGAGGATGAGGAAGAAGAAGTGAGGAGGTTGGTGAGGAAGAGGGGGGATTTACTGAACATAATGGACCTCACCAGCGCACAATGCATAGAAGCTGCTAAACTCTATGGGCCAAGCGCTTTGAGTGAAGGTTGGTTTGATTCTGCATTGTAGTACTGAATGCTGAATATAGAATGGTGATTAATATTGTGTATTCTTGCTTTGCAGCTAAAATGTACCAGTTTCTAAACACTGCTGGAGGAGCGGCCATCCCCAAGAAGCTAAGGAAGAAGTCAAAGACTTCAACCAAGCAAGTGGATGAGGGGAGGGCAAGGAAGGAGGTAGTGCCCATGACCTCAACTGAGGTGGAGGAGGAGGTGCCACAGTTGAAGAGGAAGGGGTGGGAGGAGAGGAGGGCACTACAGAAGAAGCAGAGGGTGGTGGAGGAAGAGACGGGGAATGAGGTCCCTGTGTTCGTACCTCGACCTTCTCCTGTTGAGCTGGACCCTTAGCTCAGACAGTTGGAGGAGGGGGCTGAGGTATGAGCTCCTGGTAAGGGAAAGGGCCCTGTTCCCCCACTGGGGCCTCAGAGCAGCCTGTTCGAGGCGAAGAACATAACGGGGGCTAGGTGGTTCATCAACAACACCTTCCCCGAAGTGGACCAATGCAACGCGCGGTAGGAAGCTCTGAGGTATGGTGGAGCATCCGTGGTGAAGCACGTTCTAGAGGTATGTTAAAGTATTGATGTTGTGTAGTGAACCTGTTTCGCCTTCTCTTCGTTCTTTCTTAACCTCGGTTTTGATCTGTAGAGCGCGAGCTGGGTGAATGGTCTAGCCCAGGAATTCAGGGAGAGCCTGAAGGATCGTTCACTCTTGCAGAGGCAGCGAGACCAGCTGTAGAAGGAGAAGGAGGAGTTGGAGAAGAGAAACAAAGAACTGCAAGAGTCGCTGAATGAGGTGGTTCCAACTGTGAAGCAGTTGGAGCAGGAGAGGGCTTCCCTGAGCACCAAGCTCGTCTTTGAGGAGAGCAAACGAAGGATCTCCGAAAGTGAACGTGAGGCTCAGGCGCAAGAACTAAAGCTGACGAAGGAGGCTTTCTTGGAGCTGAAGGCTAATGTGCAGACCTTGGTGCATAATGGAATGAAGGAGCACATCAACAACCTCATCAGTTCTAGCTCGTTTGACAGCATCGTCAACTTGTACCGGCTGCCCATTGCCATCATTGCTTTCACGGACTGCAGAAAGAAGGTGAAGGCTGAATATCCCGAAGTGGATGTAACAAAGATCACCTTCGGCGAGCAAGAAGGAGGAGTGGAGGAGGATGGCGAGAGCATGTCAGCAGACTTCCGTCCTCAAATTAAGCTGAGGTGGGAGGATGATGCAGACGGTCTTGCTGTTTTTCCTCCACAATTCGACTTCGAGTTCGTTGCAGTGGAGGAAGAAAGGGCAGAGGTAGAGGAGGACGAGATGGAGGCAGGAGTGGAGGGAACTGAAGTGGATGAGAGCCAACTAGTTCTAGAAGTGGAGATTTATCCAGTTCCTTCTGACGATGAGCAGCCTCCTCTGCCAGACGAGCAGCAGCCAACACAGCCACCTCCTCCTACTGAGTAGGAGCCAGTGGAGCCACCTCTCCCAGCAGAGAAATAATTATGTTTGTTTGTTTTTAATTTTTTGTAAAGGCATTTAAACAGTTTGTAATACTTATATTATTCTTAATGAAAGTTCATTTTTGAAATAATGTGTTTATTTGTGTTTGCCTGTTTATTATTATATATTGATAGAAGAACTGAGACTACCTTTAAAAAGGATAGTTAATAAAAAGAAATTAATCACTT